AAGCCTGTTTACTGCAATGGTGCTAGAAAACGAGCCTTAGCAGAAACTGCAGTCAGGTTTAATGAGAATAAATGTTTGGAGTATGTGCAACAGTGCATGGTGTGTTTTATTTTAATTCCTTCCTACTAGAAGTAAATCTCCTGTCTCCTCTCTTACCAGCAATTCCTACTCACCCTCTCATACATTTCAGGTTGTTTTTTTTTTCATTATGACAATTACTACTCAGTTTTCTTCTTAAACTTGATCCTGGTTCTCTGTACATTACTGAGCTCAAAGCATTTTTTCACTGATCTGTGCCAAAAAAGTCATGGCTCTCTCATATATTTTGCCATGTTTGAGGCTATTCCATTGTATTATTTATTGAGATAATCCTGGCATGGATTGAGAGCAGCTTTTTGTGCTGGGCCCAGAGTTTTATCTGGTAGCAACTGTTGAGGTTCTCCTGTGCTCTTCAGCCCAAGTCAGGCTCAGAGCAGGAGGCAGCGCTGGAGGAGCCTCTGCTGAGCCTTGTCTGCAGCAGCTCCTGGCACCATCAGGGTGAAAGGCACATATGAGTTATACATGATTTACGATCTTGTGCTTTACAACTGCCCCGACCTTTTTCTGGTTTTGGGAGKTTTTTTCTGGTTTTTTAATGCTTTGTGTTGACCAGACTTCTGCTGACAGAAAAAGCAGCAGAGACCTTTGGTCCCCAGCATTCTTCATGGATTGTCTAAAGGAGAATCACAATCACTCTCAGAATATTTTACTTAATTAATCATCTGCCTTTATTGATATGTTACAGAGTGATGCCTTTAGAATATACGATTTTTTCTTTTGTCAAAGTCATGGCATTGTTAAACAATTCCATCCCCGTCCCAGTGGTATTGCAGCATCTATAGATCACGCAGGAACATTTCACTTGCCAAGAGTAACAGTGACATCCTGTGGCAAATTGAGTGGAGGCAGTGCGCCCGATTTCCTTGGTCTCTTTTACATTTGCCTCCGAATTTCTTACGACGTGGAGCGTCACAGGAGGAATTCCTCCTCTGCACATAGAATGGCTTCATCAGTTYGTTCTCTGTCTCTTATTAGACGTTTCCATTATTGGAAAACATATCTAACGAGCACTTTAATTCTGAGATACAGAGAACAGTCTGCCCCAGATGCTCGTGAAGGTGGAGCATGAAACAGAAATGGAGAAAAGAAARTTTTGCATTTCAGTTTAAATTGATGTTCCAGGAACACACTACTCTTCCTTATCATTCATACTGTTATTCTCTAACGTGGCAACTGTCTATTGAGCTATATCAGACAGTAATGACAAAGATATCCACAGTACTAAAGGTATCCACAACACAAAACTGTACTACATAAACAACTGCATGTTGAARTTAGGGTAATCCTTTTAACTTCTTACTTGCACCATTCCTTTGGTTTCTTCAATGAGTATAAACAGCACAACTGCTCTGTAATTACTCACATAATTCTCACTCCAGTCAAGTCCCTCACTGCACAGTACTATAGTTCTACTGTTATCACATGCTAATGTAAAAGTCATGTACCCCAGTCAAACACTTTCCAATGAGTTTAACTTTTGACACTYAGTATGTGCAACACAGCTGACTGAATACTATGGTCTGCACACTGCAAGTGGTTTAAGCCTCATGCATGTGAAATAGCTGATGAAAGAAGGATTCTAAAACTTCATGAGAGCAAGTGGTCTGCTTTTGGCTGTTTTGGGGATTTTGTGATGTTGGTTTCTTTGGGTTGGATGTTGCTAGTTTGGTTTTTTAAATGGATGTAGGAAGGAGAAAAATATTAAGAAATATTGGGCAAATATCCCTGTGAAACTTCATTTGAATCTTCTGTTTCACACAGATTGCCTTCAAAAACTAATGAACATGCAGGAAAGAATGTAATAGTTAGGTTTTGTGTCTTCTGTGCTTTAAATTTAAGGCCATTATGTCTTGTGCTATCAAGAGTCTGTTTAGTTTAGATGTTTGAGTGGCATGGCAATCTTCTTCAAGCAGTGGAATAGCCTGCATTAGTCAATGGTCTACTCTTGAAAGATTGTCATAAGCAAGTGACACAAGTGTCTGTGGCAAATGTTTTAGGTAAAGTTGGATCTCTTTTAAAGTGAAAAGTGGAGCAGATGCCTTCCTAAGACTCCTCCCAGTSCCTCCTTCAATGAGTTTGCAGTTGTGTCAGTGAATTTCGTTATTTAAATAGTATTTTGTGCACATCTAGTATTATAATTCCAAGTCTTGTTCTTTTTTTTTCGAGTGCCATTCACACAAACTCTGCCTCACTGCCTTTTTGCTTTTGTGGATGTGGCAGACTTGCACTTGGTGTGCAGTAACTCGTAGCATGAGCACTTGTGCTGAACAAAGAAAGCATATTATTTCTCTATCAAAAGTCCTTGGTGTCCCTGAAGGGCTGGAATGCAGAAATTCCATTGGACACCAGCATGGAAGGAAAAAAGAGGGGGCTGCTCTGCTTTCAACCACTGGTGTTTCCTTCTATTTGGCTTCAGGGGGTCTCTGCAGGTCAGTTTTCAGAATCAGTTTCCATTTGGTAAAATCAAGCTTCCATAGCCCAGTGTCTGTAGCACTGCCCTTGTGGCTTCACAGTCATTCCCCTGAGCCTGAGGGGATGCTGCCTCTGAGGAGAGCATTTTGCCATAACGTGTTAAGATGATCAGAAGATACCCTAATCCTCAAAGGGACTCCCAATTCTCCCTTGAAGGRCTCCCTGGTCACATATGAGCACTCCCTGGCAGACCATGCAGACCATGCAGCCATTGTAAATATATTTCATGGGTGACCTGTGCCTCCCTCCATTTAGGGTTTTAGAGTTGGAAGACACTGCTTGGCAGTAGGTTGCACATGATTTTATTTGGGCCTTTAGGTTTCTGCTCTAGCTGAGATTTAAGAAAATACATATTTTAAATAGAAAAAGTAAAATTGGATGGGGTTTCATGTGTTGTTTTATATTTGGATCAATCACACAAGATTTTTACAGGAGAAACATTTTATTAAAGTCCTGTATAAATTGTTTCTCTGATTCCCTGTATGCTCTTCATTTCATACCAGATTCTCTCGGGTACAGACTTCCAATTACAGAATTAAAAAATTATTCTGATTTTGGTCTGTCTCTTTTAGTTTCTTTCTTTGATATTTTCTTTCTTTAAAAAAAAAATAAAACACCAATGATAGCTTTTCCACTGCACATGGCTAAATATTTAAGAATAGATAAGAATACATACATTAAGTAAGATTGAATTTTGAAGACAATTCTAGAGAAATATCTACAAGCATTTAATTGTCTCTAGAGCACTGGGCTTTCCCCTTAGCTGCCATTGTAAATATATTTCACAGGAATAGATGATAACAAAACTACCTCTGATATTCCTGGTTTGTATCGGAGAGCATTGGAAGCCAAAGCTGCAAAAGCTTCTCATATCTTTGAGACTTCAATTACTTTTAATTATATAGGAAGTGAATATAAACTTAGTTGTTAGTCCTGTACAGATGTAAACATGTATGCATTTTCTTGATTTTTACACACTACACTGACTTACTGAARTTAATGACTAAGTTTTTGGAGCAGTTTTTTTTATTCTTTGTTCATTTTAAATATGGTGACTCTGTGGGCCAAACTGTCTTTCATGGAAGTGATGAGGTATTTGCCACTGATTTTCCAACTAAAAATATATTTTTCTAATACTAAATGAAAGAAAGGTTCATTAAGGACAGTGTAGAGACAACCTATTAATTTATTTAGGTTAACAGTAATGTAAATTCAGTGAATTAATATTTTTAATACTAATTRCTGTTAATAGTATAAATTAATAGGATGCTGGATAAAGTCTTCTATTCTTCATGAGAGTTTAATCCTGCATGGTTTACAAACAGAGGAGCAATATATCRTGCTCTGAATGAAGAAGTAAAAACAACATATATATGTTTTTTCTGTCTAGATTAATATGCCACATGGGTGCTTGTTTTCATTATGCAATCTCTTCTGGGAATGGAAATTATTATCTGGAAATAATGTGAATGCAATTAGCAATTTGAGTCTGCTAAATTATTAAAATCTACTTAAACATGATGAATCAGTTTTTTTACTTCAATGAAAATTTCTAAGGAGATCATAAACTGTCTTTTATTTTACATTACAATCTACAGACTAGGTTAGATTATCACCTTCTCTTTAGTTTTCAAACCTTTCCAAGCTTTTATCAATATAATGAAGCAAGTCACAGGAATACATGCCCAATAAAAAATACTCCATATATATCTTTTACCTTGTGTCAACTCCCCTTGGATATTAATTTTAAAAAGTTACAATACTTAAGACCATGTAAGTTAAGTTTCTTATGTTGTTTATGAATTATCTTAGTCTACAACTACATTATGGAACACTACTTMGTTTTCACACAGAGAGGATATTTGCAAACCTAAACAAAGATTTTCTGATGGTATCTAGATTTTGAAGATTGATCTGTTTAGTGCCAATTCTGTCTTCACAGGAATTCATTCATAGAGAAAGTCACTGTAAAAATGTCTATTCATTTCAACTAAGTAATTTGTATCAAAGTGGAGAATCTTGCCAAAGTCAGATGAAGCAAATGATAGGAACTTGCCTTTTTTCTTTAAGGGGGAGRGGTGCAGGTGCTTATATATAAAAGCATATAGCTGCCTGATCAAGCCTGCAAAACTGGAATTCCTTTAACAAACCAGGTGCCACTTCACCAATGTCTTACTCCAGTTTTACACAGTGCTTGATTTCCTGACAGAAGCTGGAGTAGTGCAGTGGCAAAGCAGCACTGAGCTCCAAAGGCTCATTGYCAGTTATCCACGAAGAGCTTGCATTTACTGCTGGGAGCAAASAGTGCAGCAGCAGCAGCAACAACAGCAGCAGCAGCAGAGTCTCATTTGGGACATGCAGGTAATTGGCATTACAGACTGGAACAGCACTGGAGTCTGCCTCCTCAGCCAGGTAAACACTCATCTCCCACAGCATTTTGCACTCATGGTCCAGCCTCTCCCCATCTTGGCACCTCCTGCTTCATTTGGTGGATCTGCTTCTGGAGCTCATCTTTGTCCAGCTTCATTTTGGCCTCTAGAACTTGCCGKAGAGACCCAATGCTCTCATAGATAGCTGCAAACCCTAATTGCAGTGGAGAATGATGTTAGTTCATCATGAAGAGCAAGAGAATCACATCACTGCTATCACAGTGTCATATCAGAATGTGCTTACATAACACTGCTTTGCACTAGGAGCACAGTGAAAGTCCTGAAGGAAAATAGGATTTAATTGTGTGCTGATGGCAGAAATGCCCCAATGGCAGCCAAGCCATGGCTGTGCCTCCTCTGGAAAGAGCACTTCTAAGCTGGTTAAGATGTCATCCCTTATTGCTGTGCTCTTCACACTCAGTGAAAATCATCCTTAATTTCACAGGAGCCATTTCATCTGCCCCAAAAGAATTTAAACTACTTTGATACAAGCAAAGACATTTTGCATATTAGTATGAGTGGATCAGTGTTACCACAATTCAGAATAAAGAACTTGATAACTATGGTCCTACCAGCATTAACTTCAGCTTTCATTTCTTTTACATCTTCATTTATCTCATTTTGAAGTTTGACAATGCGAATATTTATCTTTTCTTCAGTCTGTTTTGCTTCATGTCCTTCCATGGTTATCTTCTGCATTTCTTCTATTCTCTCAATTTTCTCTGCCATTTGGTTGAATTTCATCTCAATACCTCTCTCACTCATTTCCTGGAGCCGGAAAAAAAAATTTTACTGATTCACTCTGCATGTGAAATAACAGTGGCCTTTTWAAAAAAGAAATAGGTATTAATTAATCATCTTTTGTCTGGAATTCAAAAATATAAGGAATTACAATTTTTCCTAAAATCATTTTAACTGACTTGATTAGTGTAGGTTAAAATACTGATCTAGTTAGCAGTGACCAGATTAATTTAAAGATTCTCAGGTTGTGGGAGTGTTACACTTGATAGCAATGAAGAGGCAAAAATACTGAAGCCGTCTGAAAATCTCACTCAAATAATATCTCAATTACATCATCTCAGCAATTAATAATGCTTTGGAATTCTTCCTGAGAATTGTTACAGGACATTTTAATGAAACTTACAGTGCTTTCCTTAAAAGTCAGTGAGAGTTGGTCAATTTTTTGCACAAGCTCTTTTTCAGTTTTTCCATGTTCCTGTTCCAACCAGCTTCGTGCAGACAAAATCTGACTGGTGAGCTCCTCAACAGCATTTTTTAATCTAGGAGCACAATAGAAATTAGCAGATACAAAAGCGCAGAACTGGTCATTCAGCAGTGACTTTTTTAAGAACATGTTCATAAAAACACAAATCAGCAATTTAATATATTCTTCACCACATTAAGGTGACCTTTTGACTTTTAAGGCTATTTAAACTGGATACAGTAACATTGGTTTAGAAAATAAAGATGAAAGAGCCAACATTTATATGAAACACATCACAAAAATTTGAAGCATTGTAGATAAAAAWTCATTGTGACATTGAAAACAGAATATGGTCATCCATTCAGATTATAAACTTTGGGTCCATACTTCTTAAATCTGAACCAAGATTTGGTAGCCACTTATTTTGGTGGCAATGCTGGTTCCTGTAGCCACACTTAAATTGCCTGTGCCCACCTCAACTTTACACCAASCAATTGTGCCAATGAAGCTGTTTCTTTTCTCCAGTGAATATTTGAAATCTGGACTGCTGAGGAGGGCAATAAGAAATAAGGATGTTGATGTCTTATASCAGGACTGCTACTGCCTAGAGAGGAGTTCACATCTGAATTGAGTATAATGTCCCCATAGAATGCCTGGTAGTACACAGTAAATTATCATTAATCATTTAGGTATTGCAGTTATATTAATGCTGATTGGAGGCTATTTAAAGCACACTCAGTGAGTGCTGTGCTTTGCTTCCTGCTTGCTTCAGCTGAACTTTTCCCCCTGCTCTGGACAGCCATCTCCAGCATTCATTGCTTTGTATAGTTCTTGCAAAAATACACCAGGCCTCTCTTACAAAAATCTTCAGTTGTGTCCTTTAAACAAGTTCTGCCTGAATACTTAACTAGGACTTGATAAACTTTTCAGAATTACCTAACCACATTGAGGGCAGAATTCTTGGTGAAAGCAAGGCCCTTTTGACAGAACCACTGTGCTTTTGTAATCTCTGCGGAGCAAACACCCATATTCAAAGAGGTTCCTGCTTTTGTAGACCTAAAGATTACAACAGTCAGATTGGGAAAACTAAGCAGGGAAAACCCTGCTCCCAAGGTGCACAACAACAGCAAGGCTTCCCAGGCCCTTACTTTGTGTCCAGGACTTGCAGCTGTTGGTTGTTCTCTTTGTAGGCAATCTTCAGCTTTGCTTCTTGTTGCATTATTGATTGCTCTACTCTGCTCAGCAGATGAGAAATCTGAAACAAAATTTGGAATTTGCTATTGTTAAACAGCATTTCTTCCGTTTCATTTGGGACATTTTTATAACAGTAGAGGAGGTCTTACAGAGAACTCACTTTTGCTATCATTTCAAAAGTTATTGAATTTGCATATTTTACCATGAAACATGCTATCTCTCAATATAAAAGTATCAACATTTTGAAAACTGTAATTGTTTTCCTTAAATAATGTGAATAGTTTTGCCTTAAAAACCTCTGCCTGCTCCCCTTTGAGACAGCTGAATTTGCATGATCCATATATCTCCAAGTTGCCACACGATCAGAATAAACAAATTCCAAAGCACTCCACCAGTACTGAGGGATGTGCTCCATCACTCTGTGTACAATGACCACTGCAGTGACAGAAGTGCTGGCTTTAACTGGGGAGCAGTCATTACTAGAAGAAAATACTTCTCACCAAAGCAATCATCCCACTTTCTCAAAGCATMCTGTTCTGCTTCATTACAAGATGAATGAAAACATGCTCCTGGCATGCTAATATACTACACTGAGGCTTCTGAGAAAGGCAAAGTGGATTTTAACCATTTACCTACCGCAAAATGAAGATGTAAAATACTTTTGTTGACCAAGAAAATGAGAAGGCCTTGAGATGTGACATTAAGGAAAAGGATTCTTCATATCTCCAAGTCTCTGCTTGTATCTAGTGCTCACTTCCATTCTCAAACCCAATGGAAGAGAAACCTGACGGACAGATTAATGGATTCACAGAACCCAAAGCCAGTTTTGTTTTGCAGACCTTCAAAAAATGTGTTCAAATACATATAGAATCATCCTGGGAAGGTCAAAACACACAGGGAAAGACACTGATGCTTGCATAGTTGTTGTTTTGTTGAGCATGTGCCTTTACATACTAATCCCTTCTACACAGAGTGCTGAAGGCAGAAATTAAGAACCTTTTCAGTTTGAGCAATAGAGTAACACACCCAGGTACCAATGGTCAATGTGATAAGGACTGTGAGCTGATACATCTCTCCATTTGTATATCTGTGACCTCCCAGGATAATAATTAACAGTAATGGAGCCTGTGTGAATTAGACTAGAACTCTTACCTGTACACAGATTGCCTTGGTCTAAATACCATACCTGAATTTCTGCCTCTTTGATTTTAGATTCTAAGATCAGCTTGGAGGTGTGTTGGTCTTTACTTAGACTCTGAAGTCTTTCATACGTAATTTTATGCTCTGCAGACAGCCTGGCTAACCCAGCATCACACCTGTTGAATAGAKAAAAAACAAAGCACCAGCCAAATAGAATATAAGGTCCAGGCTTTTTTAATTATCCGTTTTATACAGGACATTTCTGTGAAATTGCTGGCTGGCTGGGAAAGCAATGTAAGAATGGTAATACATCTGAGAGTATTCAGCAAAGTGCTCCCAAATAGGCCTCGAGATCAAATAGTCTGATACCCACATTCCATTGTTCTTGGCACTGACATGATRTGGACAGGCTGTGTTATCACTCAGGGAAGTCACATCAGAAATGCAAAGATGCAGAATTTCACTTCCATGTCTTTTTGTCATACTCCAGAAGGTGTCTGAAAAGGTGTGTGTGATTTCACCGACATGATTAGAAGTTTAAATAACTGAGGACCACTTTTTCATTATTGTAGCTTTGCATGTTTATTTGTGAAATAGTAGTATACAGCTAATATGTGTAGTTAACAATGTGGGGCAAAATTTACGATTCTTTATTTAGGGAAATAAATAAATTGTCATTAAAAGCAATGGCAATTTTGTCTCAGAAAAGACTATAAAATGAAGTCCTGGAACATAATAATTATTGTATCCTTTCTTCACATTGGAACATTTCTTGATGCTGTAACATTTTCAGGATAAACATGCTACAGAATGTGTGATTTCTACCAGATTTCAAAAATAATTTGATCAGGTGGATTTCACCTACAGTAGTGCTATAAGGACATTAACTGAGCTGTAAAAACGTGAGCACTGTGATTTCAGGAGTAAGACCTCTGTGAAGTATGACTCATATTTTTTTGCTGAGGGAAATATGTAATCATCAATGTTACCAAATTGGATCTAGGAAACTGATGAGGAAGAGACAGCAGTTATAATTCAAGGGARAAAAAGACAGCAAAATGGAACAAGCTGAGGCGTGTTAAGTCATTACCTAAACCAGTGACACACTTTGTCATCTTTTTAGTCACATTTCAATTCRAAGGCTTTCATTTCTACATGCATTTTCATCACCTCGGTTACAGGAGCTGCCATTATCATTAAACATGAAGGGAAAGCCACAGCTAAAATGACAAATAGAGCATCTGCTTATTATGGTACCRTTTCAATATGAAAATAATCAGTAATGTTAAATAGCACATAGACATTATAAAATTTGTGGAAATTAATTTCTAGTGTAGCAGTTCAGCATTGTGAGACCCATTAGTAATATCTGCTGGGAGCCCAGCTAGGGCTTACATAGCAGTGAACAACTTKTAAGTCTCACAATCAGGAAGCTTCTTTAGAAAGAAGAGAGAAGCCAAATCTCTTCATGTAATTACCATCAGAGAGAATCAGAGGAATGAAATCATCTTGCACCTGGTCACCAAAGTTGTGGGGTCCAAAAAAATTAGTTTTGTTTCYCTGAGGCATGGCAGAAAATATAAAAAGCAATAGTTTTGAAACTACAGCAGCAAATGTAAACAGCAAGCACCTGTAATTGTTTTTAAAGTCAATTAGTTTTGGGTTTAATCACAGAGTATCTCTCTTCTTCATGGAATTCAGTGGTCAAAGAGTTCATGTAGTTCCATGGTAACTGAAACATTAAAATTCTGACTAATGCAAATTTAATGTCTGCCTGGTATGCYATGCAGAGGTCAGATTATTTTTGGTTTATCTTCTATTTCTGTGGTACACACTCACAAACACCTGATTAGTTTCAACCTGGAAAAAAATATTAGTGTTCAGCATCAAAGAAATCAAAAGACAAGTAGCTGCTCCATTCAGTATCACTAGGGCATAGATAAAGCTGAACTGTGCCAGTATCTGCAGCTGGGTGCTATATACATGCACTGTAATGCTATGGAGAAATTCGAAAGTTCCTGTTTTATTATATTCAGTCAAAATGACAGTGTTTCAGTGAAAAACAAGCAGCTGGAGAATAGGTATTAAAAGCAAGTTGAAATGTCCAATGTGGCACTGGGCAGGAGCAGAGAGGAGCTGGGGGATTGGTTTGGCTCAGGGCAGGGAGCCCAGAGCCACCCTGGTGGTGCCACCTCCCACACAGCACGAGAGAGCAGCACATTTATTGTTCTCRGAGAGTTCATGAACATGCTGCAGCCCAGACACATCAGACTCATCATCTGCCTATATGTAATGAGTCCAGGTTGTCTGAAATGAATCAGTTCTATAATGTACAGGAAAAAATCATCTATATATGCAAAGTAGGCCCATTTTGAACACACATAGTTGCCATTTCTCTGGATGTTTCAGCCCTCAGGAAGCTTATATGAAGAGCTGCTGCGGTATTTAAGAGCCAGGCTGCTGTATTTAAACTTGCCAGACAAATGCTCATTATCCACAACTAATTCTCTAAATAAATGATAAGGCACTAATGAATTTTATGATTCACTATCAATAGAAAAGGATTGGTAAATCTGTATTATATAAAATTGACAACATAAGGGACAAGAGGTTGGAGAAATGGATATTCTGGCATCTGTCTAATTTTGTGCTAAATGTGTCACTGAATTTTAGAGGTARTATTTTTTTCTTAAAATTACAGATTATTCAGGGCTGTGATAACYATTTACAAATTCATCAATAAGCCATGCTTATTGAGAAAGGATCCAGAGGGATGAGCTGTAACATGCATTCAGTCATCTTCTGTTAGCAATATTAGTTGATTCTGTGCTGGAGTGAGGTATGTCACTTCTGCAGAGCTGTGTGCAGTGTGGTTTGGAGCTATGCTTCAGAACTGCATGTGCATGMAGGGATCCCTTCTTCCCATCATTAAAAGCACCAGCCCTCAAGAAATAATGAGACAGTTGTTTCATGATATATTGACAGGTTACAGAACAGTTGCTGTTAGGAAATAAACACCCCTCTCTCCAACATGAAACTTGAATAGGATGTTTAGTATGCCTGTAATTACTGGAATTGAAATTTGGTCAGAATCCTGATGGACACCTAAGTCATTACATGACAAAGGGCTCAGGCTTTACAATTTACTGTATAAACTGGTTGTCACTGTCCTTCTGCACATTGCCAGCCTGGAGCAAACACAGTGCTCAGAGCYACTGCAGCCTGAGCCTCAGGTAGTGCCTTGGCTGTGCTGAAAGCTGATGCACAGGAAGCTGGTAACCCGCAGTAACTTGATCATGTTTCTAATGTTTCACTCTGAACTCAGCTGAAAGCTAGCAGGACTAGAGTACATTGGTGAGTAAAGTGCATTTGATATAAGGAGCATTGGCTAGAGTAATCAGAAAGTGTTGATCCAAGGGAAATTTCTGTATTATGCCAAGGGCATGACAAACCTCTGTCTTGACCACAATCTCCAGCTAGTGCAATAATTATTCACTGGAACACTAATTTCAAAGTAGAGTATGTTTGTAAATAAAGGCAAATAGTTTTCTCTCATGGAACGCTGCTTTAGATTGCTTTCTGATAAAGGAAAGATTATCTTTTTCCTCATTCAGGGTTTTTTTTTGTTGGTTTTTTTTTTGTTGTTTTTGTATGCTGAATAGAAGCATAGAATGCAGAATTGAAGRTAACAGTTAAAAGGCAATAAACTGATTCTCTTATGGTAATGARTACAAATAATATACATTCATCCCATGGTCTGACATAAGGCACATGGATATAATCTCATACAATTCTCAGATAAATTGCAACCCAGGCATAATACAAGGGTGGTGCCCTAAGGAAATGAAGGAAGAAGCCCTGGCACAGCCTGTGCCTGTCCCCACCCTCCCACACCGCGTACTCAKGGCAGGAGAGTGGCACACACTGATGCCCACACCAGCACCAGTTTCTTCCCTTGAGCTCCCTGACTGAGGGCAAAGGCACCACATTTTKCTTCCCAAGGTGTCAGTAACAGTGTTGCTCTACACAGAACCCCTCTCGGGATGTRGTATGATCTCAAAGTAGAGGTTTTATATAAAGAAGCAGGAAGATCTAAGCATGTACATTTTGGGGCGATTTCTCACAGGATAGATATGTGTCTGTGAATCTCTATGTGTTGTTCAATCAATTTTCTGATTTGACAAACTAAACTAGTTTATTTGTGTTTGCTAACGGGTAAGTGCATAACTTACTAAATGCTTAATTCTTTTTAAAACACCTCCAGAGTATTTTCTATGAAATGGACCATGAAAGTTATAATGGAAGATTCAGATRATTGAGTAATTTATGAGAAAACCTTAGTTCAATGAAAATCCCTCTCTGATTATTTCTGTAGGCTGTTGTATGTTATCACTAAATCAGCTGCCATGCAAAAAAGAAAGTAAAATTACCTGTACAATATGAACAACAGGTCAAATTCAGGACAAGTATAACTCCACCAAAGTTATTACCCAAGCAACTGTAAGCCAGGCTATAGCCTTTTGCTATATTTGTACATATCCTCTGTCTTTCATGTTCAGCTATACAGATATTTAAGCAAATGTTGTTGTGCTGGGGTTTTCRTTGTGTCACTGATGGCACAACTGAAGTCTCTGTGGCTGCTCAGTTGTAACCCAGAGCTTCAGGCAGCTTGTAAAGCCTCTGTTATTGTAGAGTTTTCTGTTCCTTATGTGTCATGTAGCCCATGTGGGATTTAATATGGCTAACCACTAACTGAACGTGCAGATTTTTACTTCTRAAATGTATGCAAAAATGTGCAACTATTTTGTTCTTCACAAGTGCAGATTGTTCCATGCTGTCTTTATAATTGTGCTAATTAACGTGTTTCAAAGACACGAGTCTAACCACAGTACTTCTTAAAAGCTGAACCAAATCCAAATTCCCAGCGAATTTGAAGTAATTTATTTAGAACTAATTTCAGGAATTCTAGGAATTAAGGGTGATACTGTCAARTTTAATACATAATACTGGAATGCAAAGGATTATTATTCATTTTCTTGAAAACACAGAGCAAAATTATCCTTGGAATTTTGCCAAAGTTGAATCATTAATACTTCAGGATTAGATCAAGATTAGCTAGCCCCCAAAACATGGTTCCATGGTGACTTTTACCTTGCAACTCTTCCCCGAAGATCTCCTAGGCCAGAAAGCTGCCGCATTTCAAGACTCTTCAGGGTAGAATTTGTTCCATAGCTGAGATTGTCTCTGACACGAATCTGTTCCTGCAGCATCTACAGAGCATTCATATGCAAATAAAAACTCAGTATGTCACATTTAATGTACAGTTAAAATGTYACTCATTATTTTTCAGTAATTCAGTATCCTCAGGTGCCATTTTATTATTATTCATTAAAAGCTTTGTCTGTAATGTACTAAAAGATATTTTAAGTATTTTAGTATTTCTTATTATAAGTGTCCAATCTGCACATAAATACCATAATATGTATAACTTTTAACTTGACAGTGAAATGGAGACTTAATTTTTTTTCTCCTTTCATTTTCCCCACCACACCCCTGTTGCTCACTGCAGCAGAGGTCAGACATGAAGTCATGTGTATGCCTATGATTAGGTCATAAAAATGAGCAGTTGGGTTTGGTTACTTCATGTCGTCAGTGAGTCAGAAGGGAAAGAAAGTTTATTATAGAGCTAAGGCATTTCCTAGTGTTTATACAGCACACCCTTTGGGCTGAAGTTGAGCTGGGTATTAGTGTCACATTAATTCATTTTTTCAAGATTTTCYAGTGCAGCTTTTGAAAGCAAGCTTATTAGAACCACAAAGGCTCCTGTGTTTATATGTTAATATCCTGTGCTATTTTCATAGCCGCCGAAAGAATTATGTAATTTGCAAACACTTTTTCAAGTGGTAAAAACAATTTATAAGCTTTCAGGATCTTCAGACCTTGTCTGACCTTTGCTTATCCTGTGGTAAACTTTGTTAGGAAATTAGAAGGAATAAGTAGCTGAGRTGGCATTAGTGCTGTGCAACATTCTTGCCATACCTCGATGTCCCGGTTGAGCTGCCTCACTATCGCAGTTATGTTTCGGATGTGTTCTTCCAAGAGTTGCCTTGCCAACCGGTCACCCCCCCCTTTGTTCTGCATTCTGTGCAGCGTGGAAACAATGTCCTCCTTAATGCGAAAGGCGTGTTCCACAAGAGCCGCTGTTGTTTTCTCATGGCTCAGGATTCTGTCCTCCAGCTGATCCACCAGGCTGGCGGATGCCAGCGGGACTGCTGTCAGTGCCTGGCTGTGCAGCGGGATGTTTCGGACCCGTCTACAGGGGAACAAGATCCACATGTTGTCGAGTTCTTGCACAAAACCCTGCCATGCCTTTGCACTGGATACAGTGTGACACTATCTGAGTGCTGGCCATGCCGGGGAGAAGCCCCAGAATATTCTCAGAGAGAGTCCCCACCGCTGCAAATAAGCGGGTGCTGTGTTGTGTACAGTGTATCTTGTACAAAGGCAGCACAGGTTCTTTCTCATACTCTTCAAGCTTACAGAACCACAGGATCTTAAGGAAAGGATATTAGCATATAATAAAGGTAGTTACAAATCAGAACTATAATTTGATTGAGAATCCAAATTCAAACCCTTGTACTGAATTTCAAAAGTAATGTTATTTGTCTTTAGTTTTCAGCCTTAATCAAAGCCGTAACCATTGAAAATAGGTATTGTAAATGAAATAAAAGCAGATCAGGATTAAAAAGGAATAGCTTGTGCCARTCCCTTTTCTGTCTCTATAGCTACCCTGTAGTACCACACAGAAGCTTTTCCCCCCATGACCTGGACAGGAGCATATGTTGGCATGGAAACTGAGGCAAGACCAAAATTATTACAAGCTTTGATATTGATAGAGATGTATGAGAATTCCAACAGAGGTCACTTTTGGCTCCGTGTTTTCACAACTCATTCCATGATATTAGAACCTGGCTAAAGTATGGTATTTTTGGACTTCTAGTAAGTAAAACTTTAARCTATTTAATTTCTTTGGGAAATGGCTAAGTAAAAGCTGAGTAAGGACTTGTAATTTTGGCCATGATTTGAATGTCCATGGTATTTCACTTTGCTTTGCACACTAATACCAAAGTCCTAAGTTACAGCATAACTATATGTAGGGAATTAAGAGACACACAACACTGTGCAATAGGAAGATGAGTTTTTATATTCTAGACTGTACCTTTCAGAAGGGGCAAGAGTTGGGAAGATTGGACTTCTGTGGGCCATTGTCTGGTCAATAATTTATGTCTGTTGAAAAAGTAAAAATTGAATTACTGAATAGTTTATATCTGGTACTGAAATGACTTACTGCATCTGCATTAAGTGTACCTTCAAGTAAAGTGTAGGATTGCTAATACAATAAATGCAAATAAAAATTGATACAAAAGAATGAAGACTAAAAACTGCTAAAAAGCTTTTTAGCTTAGATGGGTAGCTTTTTAAAAGAGTGAAAATACTCTTGAAAAGGCAAGGTTGACAGCCTTGAAACTGAAATCTGCTGTTGACCCACAGAAATGGTTTAACAGGGCAGAGGTAAACACACTTCTTGTCCCCAATCTTCTGCTGGTCTCTGACATCATTAATCAATGAATAATAAAGTAAGATACACAGGATGATCATAAAACATAGGGAAATATTGACTGCAGAATTACAAGTGTTTCATGACAGCAGATTATTAGGTGTAAGGTGTTTTTCAGGTAAAAGCATTGGCAGTCAGAAATCTAAATAAAATGTGTGACATCAGCATAGTTGATCAAAATTGAACCTTTTATTAATTCAAATCTAAATGACCACACTTTTTGTTGTACGTAAATTCTTCTGTGGTAAGAATATAAGTTCTGGCTTTAATTTTTAGACACAGCCAGCCAGACTGACAGACATTGCARCAGAGTAGGTCTATTAAACAGCTTCAGAAAGGTATTTTAGTGTCTTACTGTGTGACCAGCACCTGGCTCAGCAATTTTGTCTGATGACAGAAATTACTGGAAAATATATTAGCCTCAATCAAATCCAACTTATCTCCCCTATGTAAAACAAATAAATATTTTTAAGTATAAAGAAAATGAGTGTGGTCTGAGCCTGATCTCCTTGGGAACCTAAAATCCTCACTGCCAAATAAAAACTGATGTATGAAAAGAATGTCACAATTGCTGATGAAATCCCATGTAATCTGAGAAAGATAGGGCTTTGGAAACACACTAGTCAAATATCGATAGTGAAGAAGCAATAGGGTTACCCTTTGAGATCTCGAAATGCAAAGCATGTTTGTGCTTTAGAAATGTATGAAAGCACTGCCTGAAAGCAGAGAGCAAACATTGTCACGGTGTGTGTGTTCTATTTATAGGCTGGTGCTTTGAGAACTACAAATTAGGAAAAAAAAAACAGTTTTAAGAGAAGCTGGGTTGCTGAGCAGCAGTGACACCAGACAGGAATTCAGGAGGTCTGAGTTTAATTCTTTGCTCAATCTCTGATCCTGTTGACTTTGGACAAGTTATTTCCATAGATAATGACTCAGTTTCCCTACACATAAGAGAGATAACCATACCTACCTCCGTGTTTAAGTTCTTACATGGTTTTAAGTAAAAAGCACAGTGTAGGAGCTGGGGATCATTGTGCTGACTTTTGCATTCGAAGTCCTGCACAGACACTGAATGTCCAGTTCTGCAGTCTGCTCCTCACATTGGTTGTTTCCCAGTTGTTGAATTTTTGAGCAATGGCAGCATTCAGCGAGAGGTCCCTCCCAGTGACACCACCAGATTGCACCGGGTCACACTGCCAGGCACCCAGCTCTCAGGGGGCCTGACACCTCCGGGCCTTAACACATTTTAATGCTCTTGATGCCTTGAAGCTTTTTYGCACAATTTAGCTGTAAACACAGGAATTATCCCACTGATTTAAGAAGAGCTTAATATGCATACCACAGCAGCAAAGCACTGGATGCTATCTAGAAAAAAACAGAGAACAAATATTAAAGTCTGTACATCTAGCAGTATCTTAGTGAAATTTAGTGAAATACACTTTATAAAAACCAGCTAAACAGTGTTTTAGTCTTATGACCTTCAGTATCCATTTATTATCAATTGGAAAACAATGTTTGCAGCAAACTAAGCATAGGTTTGCTTGAATTCTTGAATTTTTCTGCCAAACTAACACAAGAAATGCAGCTAAATGCAAATATCTGGAAATAGTGTGATATGAAACTCAACTTACGTAGATGAACTTCTCATTCATTATTGCTAGCTTAAGCACTTTGCTCAGTACACAGTGAAGTATCTCATTATCAGAGATCAGATTTCTTGAYCTGATCCAAAAGCCAGAAAGGATTTAAGACCTTGCTCAGCAGTTACATAAAACTTCGCTGCAGTTTGGAGATATTTGCAATAAACAAATAGCTGTCAGAACTAATGACAAATTCCTTCTCTATGAGTGTGTGTGATACCAACTTAGACTAGTAAATAGAAAACACAAGTGTTCTTGTGTTAGATTCAGAGCAGTATAATTTCATATTTTAATGGCAGTAAACTGGGGTTGAGTCAGATATCAATTTAAATACTGGTTACAGGTGCTTAATTTATTCCTTTTTCAATGATGTTTCCTGCTTGATACTKCTATAACAATTTAAGTCATGATATATTAACCCAGTAAATTTGGGTTGACTGATTTAAGTTACTGAATATTCAAAATATCACATGGACAGGGTAAAAGTTTTTTCTCATTTGTAAATGATATGCCTTATTGACAAAAATAACAGTTCATTAGATACTTAAGGCAGGTTCTCCTTACAAATGTGGAGTACTTCCTTATTGTTTCTTTAAATCATGGACATCAGATGTGTAAAAGCTTGGGAAAAAAATCACCCATGAGACATGATGAAGGGGCACTTCTAGCAATGCACAGTTCATTCCTTGCTATTTGTGCTGTGGTATCCCWTCCCCACTTCTCAGACTGCCTTGCGTGTTTATTTTCTGCGGGATCTGCATTTCTCCTGTTGTGAAGGATAATCACATCTGTAGTGTTCAGTTCCCCATCTTCCATGATAACCTACATCCAATGCTGTAATGTCTGCGCACCTTGGCGTGTTTTCCAATTCATTCTCACAATATGCCTGTGAAGTAGGAAGCATTATTATCCCTGAAAATATAATTTCCTTCTGTTGCTGGTAGGGAAGTGAAGCACGGGGCGGGCTATGTGACTTGCCACAAGTCACACGGGAATCAAAGCAGACTGAAATACCTGCCTAGGCAAACACTTTAATCACTCTTTTATTCTTAAAATAGAAACCGCTTTGGTTGCTGCACAGGGAGCGTGTGACGGCACCACCCCGGCAGCCGCCAGATCCTTCCCAGTGTTACTCTGAAGTGCTTTGGGGCAACGCTTCGGGCTAAGTGAGAAAGTGCCGGTGCTGCAGCTCAGCGTGAGTCAGAGCCCGGCAGTCAGGGATTGCCAGCCCCGTGCCGAGCCCCTGTGCACGGCGGTGCCACCCGTCAACAGCGCTGTGCGAAGGGTGCCGGAGGGACCCCCGCCCCCGGCAGCACGGTGACCATGCCCGGAGCTCCGAGCCAGGCCGGGCTGGCTCCGAGAGAGGTCAAGGGCCCTCTGGACAAATAGGTGCCATCGGCCCCGGTGCCGGCCCGTGCCGAGCCGCCGTAAGCGGGGAATCGCGCCGGAGCCCCGCCTGCTCCAGGCCGAGCGGTTTGCCCTGCACTGCCCGTCCCTGCACTGCACTGCCCGTCCCTGCCCTGCACTGCCCGTCCCTGCACTGCCCGTCCCTGCACTGCCCGTCCCTGCACTGCCCTCCCTGCCCTGCCCGCGGTCCCGGCCCCGCAGTGCGAGGGTCACCGGTGGGCGCGGCGAAGGTTGCGGGGACACGAGGTGTACAACAGCCGACAGGACAGCAAGGTGCAGACACCACTCTAGGGCCATGCAACACGGGGGAACAGAGCCGAGACAGCCTCTGCGCTCACTCACCGGTGCTGGCTCGGGGCTGGGCAGGGCTGCCCGCCGCTCCCGCGCATCCCCGGCGCCGGCCGAGCTCCGCTCCGCTCCGGGAGCGCTGCCGCCGCGGCAGCGGCCGTTCCCGAGGCCGTGACCGCCGGTGTGTGGCCGGGGTCCGTCCGCCCGCCCTCCCGGCCGGCTGCGCGGAGCGGAGCGGATGGGATGGGATGGGATGGGATGGGATGGGATGGGATGGGATGGGATGGGAGCGGGGCGGCCGCCGCAGGCCGGGCTGCGGGAGCGGGAGCGGTTGCCAGGACGCCGTCACCATGGGAACGCGCTGCCGCCCGGGCGGGGGGAGCCCTTCGCATCGCCCCCTCCTCGCAGCTATTTCACGGCAGCGCTCCATCCTCGGGAAGCAGGGAGGGACGGGGAGGCCCCGCAAACATCGGCGCTCCCTGCGGCACAGGGGGCGAGCGGTGGGGACGGAGCGGGGGCTGTGCCTGTGCCTCCCGCGCCAGCAAACGCCGGGCTCCTGACTGAAAGTTCGCTGGTGACAAACAGCGGTGACTGAGTTTCTAGTGGTGCAAAGGAACCGAGAGTATGACTGAAAGCATGGGTTTTTCCAGAGCGTATATCAAATCCTGTCAGAAYACAAGACTATTTAAACCAATGGTGAATATTAGTTTGGTTTATAAAGTTTCCATGTTACATTTTCAAACAAGATCTAACATGCAGCTTCAGTGAAACTTCATATATCACAGCAAATAAGATCCATCTGCTTGCACAGCAGAGGCGTGTCAGCTAAGAGAAAGTATTACTGGAAAAATAAAGGCCATACAGGGTGTGTCTGCCTTTACTTTTGTTTCCTGCTTGTGTCATTCCTTGGACTTCGATACAACCACCTTGGGTAAGCAAAGCGTAAGTGAAATCAGAGAACTTACTGCACCAGTTCACTCTGAAATAGCAGATTGTCTCTGATTTTAGTTAAAATATGTGCAATATTCCATACTGTTATACAGGCAAACCACTGCAGGACTAGGGATCTGGTAAATGTGAAGGACAAAAGGGTTATACCATGCACTCTGTTGTAAAAAGCAAGGTGGGGTCTGAATCCACATTCTGACCTATTTATTTTAAAGTAATTACCACATCAAAGGATCAAGCCAGAAASAAAACATGCCAACTGAGAGTCATAAGATTGTAGGATAATTCAGCTTGGAATGAACCTCAGGAGAACACCTGTCCAACCACCTGCTCCAAGCAAGGTGATTGATGAGGCCAAATGCAGTTGTTCAGGGTTTTACCC